ATTCCTCCGGGGGGAGGGCGGGAAAGGGGGGTGGAGGGGAGGGAAAGGGGGGGAGGGAGGAGAGGGGGGCGCGGCCGCAGTGCCGTCTATGCCATCCTTTCAGCACCAACAACCACAACAACAGCAACATGAAGAGCAACCACCCCTGGAAGGAGAAGAGCAAGAGCAGATGCATTTCTCACTCTCCGGCTTCGGCGTGGCACCTGCAGAGATGTCATCACGCGAAAGCCGAGGTGGCGGGGGGGCCGTGGGGCAGTATGGCAGCAAAGTGTATCATGGAGAGAGGGGAGTGTCGGGATGATGCTGGGACAATCTTTAGTTTGTTCTATACACCAATGCCGGTGCGATGGGTTGATAACGCCAACATATCATCAGGCTCAGGCCTTCTTGATCAGCATATGTGTGCTGCGACGAATTTGGATGGCATATTTGGTTGCGGTCTTGAGATTGATTACACGGGTATGGGTTCAGGGACGTGAGGAGGGATGGAAGTACATACTACCAGAGTGACACTACAGCTGGAAGGCTCGGGGCATGCAACTAGGTTGCCTGTACCCGAGATTACATAGCATGAAAAAATGACCCAAATGCTTTGAAAACTATAGAATACGCGTATGAGGTTAATGCAAGAGAAGACACCGCAGAAAAAATGTGATAAATGTACGAGAAATGTTGCTGTGAGGCATGCACGTCTCCGCCGAAGGACTAACAAAACAACTTCTTTCCTAGGGAAAAGAATAACATCAGATGGTATGTTGCGCACTTCCGTCTGTCGATACTCTCATCACCTTCAGCAGCAAAGTCAACTGTATTGAGTGGGGGACAGAAAAAGTAAATCATACGTCAAAAGCGTGGCACTCTGCTCCGGCCCCTCCCTCGCCGTCTGCGACAAGAAACGTAACGACAAGATCTGTCCCAGCACTCATTGCGTCAAAGCCCACGTTTTTGTCGTGGAGACCGCGTACGGGGCGTGCACACGCGGTGCATGCCTTGTCTCGGAGGAGATTCGGAGGGTTTGGTGTCTTCAAGCATTATACTTTGGTGGTAATTGCTGGGACCGCGAGGACCGTGCAGCCAGATGCCTCGGTTGGTTGAAGCCAGTAACGGGAGCCATCAATAGACCTGTCATGCCGGCGCACCTGGGAAATCATGCAGAGGCCCTGCGCTCGTCGGTTGTGGATGTCGAACTGATCAAAGCTGTGGTATCAGGATGGGCGTTGCCATGCGGACAAATGTTTTTTCAGCGTTCTTTCCACGTACAAACAAAACAGGTAGCAGTAACAGCCTAGCCCCATACCGAGCTTGTATAGAAGTGTCCTCGCCTAGAAAGTCTTCAAGCACGTCAAGTAACCGACGATATACGACATAGACGAGTCACAAGAAGCACGATGACCTCTACAACAACTGAGCTTGCGCAGCCAGCGCCTGCCCACCCCCGTGCCCAACGGCTTACCAAGCTCATCGCATGGTGCAAGAAAACCTCGCCCAATTTCATGATTAGGGAACAATTCGTGGGTTTCAAAACCAGCACCGATGGGAACGTGACGGCAGTTGCCCTCAAAGACATTCCCGCTGACATGCACCTGATTCGTGTCACACCGGAGCTCATGTTCTCGGCCCGCGATCTGAAGCGGAAGTGGCGCGCGGTTTACAACGAGATTGAGAGCAAAATTCGACGCTATACGGGCACATGCACGGCTGGCTTTCTCCCTGGCACCGAGTAAGTTCTCAGGGGAGCCATGTGGGGATCTGGCCCGATTTCCCCCATTAAGCCCCTTTTTAATCCCCTTTGTTCTCTTGCAACCCCTCCCTCCGCCTTCTGTAGAGCTGAGGAGCCTGCTACGACGATGGCCCTCTCTTTCGCCTTGCTTTTGGAGATGGGCGATCCTGAGTCGAAGTGGAAGCCCTATTGGGAAAGTTTCCCGGAACATGTGCCCAACATCTTCGATTTCGACGGCGATTACTCCCACTTGGAAGGCTCTCCCTGGAGGGAGCAGCTGGAAAAGAAGCAAGAAGCGATGCAACACATCTTGAAAGAGATCATTCCCCCCATCCTGGCAAAAATCAAGGGAAAACTTGGTGTGGACGATGTCGGTAAGTTAAATGGGGTCAGAGGTGAAAAGAGAAGGTTTGCTCTCTGCGCTCAATTTCCTGCCTAGCTGGAAGAAAATAAGCCCGATGGGTGGCAATACCCTGATTACCCTGGAAACAAGAAATTGAGGATCAGCCCCTTCTTCGTGATGCAACCGCCACAACACAGAGGGGACGTTGAAACGCGCCTACGGGCTCTGGCAATCGCGGCAATTGAAAGACGACGTCCACAACAAGCGGGCGCAGTACCTGGTACCGGTTCTGGATTTGATCGACGGGTACGCTGGCAAAAGGAAGCGGGTGGGAATGTCGGCCTTTTTATCTTTTTCTCTGTCCCCATGTGGTACCTGGAGAAAGGGCGGGCGCATTGGCACGCATGGCTGTCGGACCTGACCACTAAACATTCCCTTCCTCCCCCCTCCCTCCCTCCTTTCCTCGTCCCCCCCACACCATACTGGCCAGGGAAAGCGACAAACTGAGCAATGTGATCGTGGACGATGGGCCCGGGTCCACAGCTATGCACGTGGAGCTCGTGTTGAAGAGCAGTCGGAAGATCGAAGCAGGCGAAGAGCTGAGCCAGATGTATGATAGCTGTAGTAATGCCTCTTACTTGCACTGGTACGGCTACATCACGGACAGCATGGTGTTTGGAAATCTCTCCCACAAGACCTTCATGACCACCGCGCAACTGACCGCGACGGCGTTGGAGGCCGTGGAGGAGGAGGCGGCCCGGGAGGGGAAGGAAGGGACGGAGGAGAGGAAGAAGGAGGTGGAGGCCATGACGGCGTTGAAAAAAGATCTCTTGTCTCGGATTGCTGGAAAGGAAAGGGCGGGCGGGCGTCGGTCGCTGGAACTCACGCACCGTTCGGAAGTCTTCGAGGAAGCGGCCTTTGTCCTGACCGCCATCGCCAAGATCGCCCTCTGTCCCTCCCTGGAACCCCTGGAGAAAGTCCGACGGTCTTTATCTTCCAATGACATCAAGGACATCCTGAAAAACGCGGACGAGATGATGACGGGCATGGACGGAGAGACCTTGGCCCCAGTGGCGGTGGGGGCGGTGGAACGGATTCTGTGTCAGCTCCGGCACGGTGACTCTTACCTGCGGGATATGGTCGCCTTGGACAAGTCGGGGGAGAAAGAGGCGAACCGACTCCTGATCAAAGTGCGTATGAGCGAGAAATTCCTCCTGTTGCGGGCCCGGGCGGAGGTGTGCAAGAAATTAGGCCTCACGGACCGGCATGAACGCCCCAGGGTATGTGATAACTGTGCCACTTTCACCCATTTGCGTGCCTGTGGGCATTGTGGCACCACGGCCTACTGCTCCCGGCGCTGCCAAGTCATGAAATGGCGCGAGCACAAGAAAGCGGTCATCCCGCCGGCCACGACGTCTTCGGTCGCGGCGTGATGGGGAGGGAAGAAATTGGGTGGGACCAAGGGGGCCGGGCCATAGTGGAGGAGGAGGGGGAAGGGCGCAAAGACGTCGAGGCAAGATACTATGGAGGGAGATCGCGAGGAGAGGGAAAGCCACTGGGATAAGTAGGGGTGGAGGAGGTTCCTTCGAGTGGGGACAGGAGGCAGGGAAGCTGATACAGCAAGCGAGTCCACAGTGGAGAGAGCTGTAGAGGGATCTAGAGAGGGCAAGTGCATGCAGTAACGTACTGTGAGTGGGTTGTCCGTGCCGAGGAAAATGGAAAAAGAAAAACTTGAACAGGCACCAGGAAATTAAATGAACACCGCGGAGGCTCATTGCCCTTTTCTCTGGTTGTTCTGCTGGACTGCAGCGCTGAACATGCATCTCGCGTTCGATCCAAATCAAGGTTAGGATTACACGTCATTCGGGTATGAGAGAGAAAAAGGTGATTGAATCCATCACCAAAATGTAGATTTTGATGCCGTAACCACCATTAGGGATCATGCAGGACCCGGAGGAGAAGGGAGAAAGAAATGTAAAAAATGTAGGCGTCATAGAAAACTACGGTCGCCTGAAGCAACGCTGTGAAAGAATCATCACCACACTGGGTGCATAAAGGGCAATTCGGACGTTGCATATGAGAATCGGAAAAACTCCATCTATATCGTCCCATCGGGCGAGTGCAATAACGCAGGTGACGATTTCTGCAATAGTGTTACGTGCGCGCGGCTCGACTATGGAAGGTGTGCTGGTTAGGAAGAAGAGCGTGATCGAAAAGGAAGCAAGGAAATGTAAGAAGTATAGCATTCACATACTATCGTGAGCAAGTAATTATCGAAGCAATATCGCAGTCACGGCCACTGCGATCTCATGCACGCATTATATATGATAAAATGGCAACATGTGCCGTAAAGAGAGCTTTGAAGGACGCAGTCCCAAGAAAGATATGTTTGCAAATGTCGGTGTGGAAAATATTAACCTTGGAGGGAGAATTCCTGTGCAGGATTCGTTCCTTGTGGGGCCCAAGAATGTCAAAGCACACGAGGGCGGCGATGTCACACTTGAAGAGAATCATGGAAGGTCCCTGCTGATATTATGTATATATTTTATTCTGTTTGAAGCTTGTCTATGCAGAAATCATTTCTACATAGTTGCAGGCCCTTTACTTCGTAGAACTGTATAAAATATCAAGGGAGCATTATCTTCACTTACCAAGGAGTTGGAAATGGGCCACTCTTCCTCTGATTCATCTCTGGCACATGCTCTAGAAATCATAAGTTTTCCCACACGATAGCCAGGAACCTTTGCTGTTCTCAGTAAAAATACATTCGTAACTTCTATCTGTTAGGATTAGAGGTGGCACTATTTTCCAGGTTGGAAAAACACAAAAGAGACCTTGGTGCCACGATAATCCCTTGTCCAAACCCGCTGACGACGGCGATCATCTCCCGACTAGGAAGCTGCTCTGTTCAAGCACCACCTCACTTCGACTTTTGGACTCACGCGTACTTTCCTGTCTCACGCAATTTATAGGAGCGGAAGGGCAGTCATGCTCTCATCCTTAAGCGGCGTACGCTGTGTCTTTCTGGTCCTCCTCTTCATTTGCCTGTCAGGAGGCGTTGTTGCCTTCCTTCCTGCGTCTGTATTGCCCACTCGGGAAAGTTCCTTCCCGTCTCGCTTGCATGCTGAAAACAAGCATAACGGGGACAATAAACCAGGATCGAACGGGTTAAACACTCTTTTTTCTCCGCCGTCTATGACCAATCCATTCGAAGCCTTGGGAAAGCAATTGACATTTTTCTTTGAAAAATTGACCGGGGGAACCGATACTAATTCCGCGATGGCCTCTCGGGCCCTTCCGCCCCCACCTCCCTCGGTTCGTCGCACCGGTGGACCAGTCTCCGTTGTTTTTGGCGCCACTGGTCGGGCAGGGCGTGAAATTGTGCAAGCGTTGTTACGGGAAGGACATGATGTGGTGGCCGCGGTGAGGAACGAATCGAAACTGAACGAAGTGTTTGGGGCGTCTGCGCTGAGTGGAGCAACGCCTGCCAGTCCAGGACATGGATTGTTGGACTATATCAGTGGGATTGACGTCACCAATGCAGCCACTCTAAGCAGTGGTAAGGTGCCTGCAGTGTTGAAGGAGGCATGCCATGTGGTCGTCGCCCTCGGTCCTGTTGGAGGGGTGCAGCCGGGGGGCGGTTTTGGGTTCTTTCCAGGGTTGACGAGCGAAGACGTCGACTTCAAGGGTGTTACGAAGGTCATCGACGCGGTGGTGGACGCAAAGGGGGTGGTGAAGGAAGGGGCAGGGGAAGGTGGAAAGAAAAAAGCCGCGGGAGAAGTGGAGGAGAGGAAGAGAACGCTTTTCCGGTTCGAGACGCCCGAGGACGTGGCCAAATGGCAGCGGCTGGACGACGTGATCATGGGGTAAGTGGAGGATACATTAAGCATGGGACGGGTGAGACAAGGGGCGGATCGCAAGCGTGGTCGTCTTCCCCAGAGTGTCTCAAGCTCTCTCGGTTCCTTCCAGGGGGCAATCTTCCTCCTCTTTGGAGCTGGACAGAGAGAAAGGCTACGCGACGTACACGGGGAGCCTGGTTGTGGAAGGTGGTGGCTTTTGTGGAACTCGAGCCTCCGGGGGCGACGCATCGGTGGATTTGTCGGGCTTTGATGGCGTGACCCTGCGGGTCCGGGGGGACGGGCACCGTTACAAATTAAATCTAAAGACGACCGAAACCCTCGCGTCGGAAAACGTCTATCAGGCAGCTTTCGACACGCTTCCACTCCAGGACGTGGGAGAGGGAGCGGGGGGATGGCAAACCATCACCATCCCTTTCCATCGATTCTATCCCGTGGTTCGAAACCGGGTCGACTACAAAGCAGCCCCCCTGCAACCGTCCTCCCAGGCAGCGGTGAGTCTCGGCTTGGTCTACTCCCGTTTTGAGTTCAACCGACAAGCGAATCCATACTACGACCCGGGTGCTTTCTCTCTATCATTGGAGGAAATTGCCCTCTATCGCTCCCGCCGTCCCTCCCTCGTCCTGGTCTCCTCGGCTGGCGCAGAGCGAAACGCGAAGGTCGAGACGGAAGAGGATCGCAAGACGGTGAGAAAGTCGGAACTCAGGCACGAGATAGGATTTGTTCGGCCGCTCTTTCCCCTCCTCGTTTTGCCGCTACCCTGTCCTGCGGGTCTTATATCTAATGGGGCGCCCCCGCCAGGGTGTGGGTGTGTGTATTTGTGTAAAGACACCTTGTGCGGGACAACGTGCCGCCCTGCTGAGCTTACCTCCCTTGTATTCTTTTCCTTTCTTTGGATGCCCCCCAGGAAATCCCCATTGTGATGCTCAACCCGGGAGGGATTCTAAATTGGAAGTACCGGTCAGTACAGCGAGATAGAGAGAGGAAGAGGGAGGACGTACGGCCAGATGTTGCATGTGCTGTGGAGTCCCCTGCTTGTGCTTTTGCCTCGGTCTTTTCCCACACTACCCTCCTTTGCTCCTCATTTCCCAGCGCTGAGACCTACCTTCGGGCCTCACCCCTGCCATACACCATCCTCCGACCCTGTGGCCTGGTCCCGGAGAAAGCCTTCGGCGACGAGCCCTCCACTGGGAAACTTCAAGCAGGGCAAGGCGATACTATCACGGGTAGGTTGACCCGACAAGACTTAGGGCTGGCCGTGGCTGCGGCTTTGGCCTCCCCGTACAGCGCGGGTAAAACGATGGAAATTCGCAGGGACGAAGCAGCAGATGCCAATGCTATGACGGGGGTGGGGCGACGACCGAGGACCACGGCCGTAACGGCCCTGGAACTCTTTCAACCGTTGGTGGCTGATAAAGACCGAGCAGTGTCCGGCACGTCGGGACTCTTACCGTTCCCTGAGGCAGTCGATCCTCCCCAGGAGGTTTCTCCGGAACGAGCCAAGGAGATTTTGAACGATCCGCGGGTGAAAGCGCAGCAAGACAGGGATCGGGCCCTGGTGGAGTCAGGCGCATTGCAGAAAGGGCAAGGAGGGGGAGGAAGGGTAGAGGAGGAGCCTGCGGCCGCGGTGTCGATGACGGCGAACCAGGGCAAGTGAAAGGAGAGGGAGGGGGGGCGGTGAAAGGGTGGACCAGAGGATTCATGCTTAGTATGTAGGTGTGTGTGCTGTGCGTATTTGTAGAGGGTCGGTGCCTGATGGCGCCTCGGCGCGGGTGCATGTCCAGAACAGTGTAATTTATTCGAATAATGCTTTGTCATTCAACGAACCAAAAACCAAGTCTTTGCCAGATATCCCCCTTTGTTTCGGAAGAAAGAAAGTCATGCCGTCCAAATGTAGTCTCTGTCCTTTTTAGTACGCTAGAAGTTCCTCAATCTCTGTTATCTAAAAAAAATGAGAAGCTGGCATGCCGGGGATCAGGGGGAACACTCAGGAACGGCCCACAAGCGCTCATGCGGGCATGTCACATATATCCCCAAATGCCCCTGCGTCCAGAGATTTCAAGGCCCTGACTGCCTCCAGAGTGAGCGGGTGATCACTGCCGTGAACTATTCTAAACAAATCCAAAGACTTTTCCCCCTCCCTCGTTGCCGCATGCCTCATGGCCAGTCTCCATACCTGGGCCCTACTTACCGATTCTCCTCCCCTCTCCAGGCGCTGCACCAGCCTCCACATTGCCTTGACCTTCAACATGGACAACGTTGCTCCGTGCGGCTGTCTTTCGAGCCCATGAGCTGCCATATACATGTTTAATACCCCCGTCCCGACGGCCAGGGCTACATCCTCCTCCACCGTCGTCCCAGGCCGGGGCTGCCCTTCCTTAGTAGCCGTCGATTTATTTTCTTCGGTTCTCCCGCCCGTCTGCGCCATTCGCACCAAGAGCATGGCCGCCATGTGACGTTGAGGATGCGTGTCGTTCCAAAAACGTGCGCTTCCTTCCACTTCCTCCTTTTTCCCTTCCTTGCATCCAACGGTCTTCCCTGATCCCGCCAACCACTTGACCAATGCCCGCATTGCTTTTTGTTGGTCATCCTTCCCTGTGCCCCCCCTCATATTGCCTTCCTGAACGGGAAATGGGCGGGAAAGGGAAGAGGACAAAGAGATGGTGGTGGCGCGAATGCCCCTGTCAAGAAGCTTTGCACCCTGTCCCTCAACCCTCAGGTAGAGCGACTCCGGCGTCCGCGTGGGGCAGGCACGCGGTTGGTTCCGGCATTGTATCCAGTCATTTCCCTCCACGCGGGCCACCTCCCCACTACTCTGCTTACTCCCTTCCTGCCCTCTCGTTCTCTGGCGTCCCGTATCCTCCCGGATCGCTTCCACCCGTCCTCCGCACGTGAAGCACGCCCATCCCTGCGTCCCTCCCTCGCTCCCGCCCTCCTTCCCTCCCTCCTCTTCGCAGCGTGGACACTGACAGTGGAATCGAAAGGCTTGCCACAAAAAGTCCTGCCGTTCTTTCCGACTGAAATGCAAGTGTTCCAGATAGGAATACGTAACTTCCTCCCCCGCCGTCATGGCCCGAACGGCTCGCAATTCGGCCACCACGTCCTGATACCACCATCGCTGCCCACTTTCTCCCTGGCTATTTCTTGACTCGGCAGGCTGTGGACGAATCAAGGCGTTGAATGACGCGACCGGCCGGCAAGAATGGTTCACAGTGCTGGCCAGGCTGAGGAAAAGACCTAAGGCAGGGGCCCCCCCTGCCTCGTGGTGCCGATCGTCAGAACCCTGTAGTTTGGAATTTCGGGGCTTGTAAGCCCGGAAAGGGTGACAATTGACCCTCAGACGCACCAGCAGGCCCGCGAAAAACTCGGCATTTCCCTCGAGATAATTCTCTCCGCGTCTCCCCACGCCCCCACATGCCTCCCGCTCTGCTTCGGTCATGGGCGCCCCCAGTCCACGCGCCAACTCCAAAGCTTCCTTCCAGATTGTACCATACTCCGCATCCTCCTGGACGCTTAAATCCATGATCTTGGACATTGGCTCCGGAGGCTCTCGGCTGTGGTCGGGGGGGATGGAGCCGGAAGTGTGCTTGCGGCTGCGGAGGAAATGATAGCTGTGGTCCAAGCTGCCAATCACTTGGACGGCCAAGCGGAGAGTGTCTGTGTCAAAAAAGGAAAATTGTGGACTACTTTGCCGTGGCTGTGGGCTCGTTTCTGGCTGTTTTGGTAGGCGCTGGTTTGCTGCTAGTCGGCGGGCGTGTGCACGGACGCGACCGAGGAAGAGGCAGATCAGGTCATGCAAAGAGCCGTCTCGGTCCAAGCAAGCCTCGGAGCAATAGTAGGCCATGTTGCAACTCTTACACCCAAGCCTGCGTGCTTTGGCGGGAAGCCTTCGAAGACAGACCGTGCACCATTTATCAAGGACTTTACTGGCAATGACGGCCGTAAAGCACGGTGACGATAGTATCTTTGTCCCTTCAAGAACGCTGGCACCGGGAGCTATGATCGTGTACCGCCCTTTACCTTTCCAGTCTGTTTTCGTGAGTAGACCGGGTGGTGATGCGGAAAAGGGGGCCCTGGCCGAAGAGATTGATGATAAGGGGGGCTTGGAGGGCAGCAGGACGGCGGGCGGAACCCAGGCTTGACTAGAGCTACCATCAGGATGGTGCCGCCGCAGCAAAAGAGGTCCGTCCAAATCACCAGAGAGATTCACGTGTTCAACGATACTTCTTGCTTTCGAGCCCGCCGAAGAAGAAGTTTCAGTGCCATGATCAGGAACGGATACTCCCACGAAGGCAGCGAGGAGGAAGGAGGACGGTAAAAGATCAGTCATACCGAAAGCATCCGCGAGAGCATTTGGAAGAAGTCTGTCGAAGGAATAAAAGCACTAGATGCCAGAAAAGGTTGGGACGAAGCGCAGAAAAGTCAAAAGCAGCAGGGGAAGATGAGAGGGTACAGTTTATGCGCCGACGGGAGGGCGAGAAGCTGATTCTAACGAGGCTTGCCGAACGAGACCCGTCTTTCATTTTTTTCTCTTTCACGTCGTAATTCCACCGACTCCTCACGCTCACGTGTAGCCCACCATCGAATTACAGACGTGCCCCGCTTGGTAGATAGCCGCGGGCGCGTGGAAAGTGTTGCGGTCACTGTTTTCCGGTATCGCTGAAGTCTCACTTTGCTTCACGTCGAGGACGAACTCGCTTCTACTTAGCAACCATGCCGCTACAACACGGCTGCATCCAGGCTTATTCGCCGTGGTGCCGAGTCATCTCTTCTATTCTTCTCCTTGGGGTCCTTGCAAGAGTCGCCGATGGTATGGTTCAAAATTTCCATTACGAGGACGAGACAAGCCCCATGTTCCAGCTCGAGACTTTTGGGTTTCGACCAGGGGGAGGTGAGTTATCGATGGAGGTTGTCGTCGATCACAATGTGTAGTGACTTTGCATGATGTAGCTTTGGGTATGGCGACTCGTGGACGTGTGGTGTGATGCCTACGGCGTGTGTGCACAGGAGGACTTGGAGGAGGCTGAGATGGTGAGGGGGAAGGGGGAATCCCTCGGACAAGCGAGGGGTCCCTTAATATGTCTGCGCACCGAACTCGTCCAAAATTTTGATTTTGTGTCGAGATGTACACGTCGAATGTTTTGCTTCGTGCGTATGCGTGACCGCTGTAAAGTTCAACTCAGTCTCGCCCTCCTCACATGGCCATCCCCGCCGGGGCACCCTCTAGTGATGGAACTGAATTTTAACCACTTCGTCGTCAAAGTTCCTGAGAAAACAAAGGATGCGACCGTCCGTGCCGGTTTTTTGATGCATTTGACCGAAAGCGAGACGACTGCCCGGCAGGACTTGGAGGAGGCGCTCGAACGTCTGGCGGCGGACCAGGAGGACTGTTGGCTGGATCACCGGGGGCCGAACGACGAGGTCATCGACCTCTCCGACCCCGAAAGCTGGGCGGAAAAGCAGGTGCAGCACACCGTGGCGCCCGGGGAGGAAGGGCTCTACTCCTTGATTTTCGTTCGCTGCCAGCCCGCTCCCTCGGCCGTATCCTTCAAAATCCACGCCAAATTCTACAACCCCGGACCGAATTACCTATCTGCGGGGGAGGCCCCCTTGCCGACTCTGTACTTCGTCTTTTTCCTCTGCTACCTGGTGGCGATGGCGGCCTGGGTGGCGGTCTGTCGGCGCCGGAAGGAGCACGTCCACCGCATCCACAACATGATGCTGGCTCTGCTCGTGTTTAAAACCCTCTCCCTTCTCTTCGAGGCGGTGCGTTTCCAGGCCTACCAGAAACACGGGCTCACAGGCCATGCGGACGGGTGGGCGGTCGTGTACTACGTCTTCGCCTTTGTGAAGGGGATCATGCGCTTCGTTGTGATCCTCCTGATCGGGACCGGGTGGAGCCTGCTCAAGCCCTACCTGTCCGACCGGGAGAAGAAGGTGGTGCTCGTGGTCCTGGCCTTGCAGGTGATCGATAACACGGCCATGGTTGTGCTGGACGAGTTGTCGCAGACGTCGCCCGGATCGGCATCGTGGCTGGTAAGTCGGGAAGGAGGAAGGAAGGGAAAGGTCCAGCGAGAAAAGCAGACCAGCAAGGCGCCCGGGGATGATAGGGGTAGGGGTTGGTTACGATGGTGTTTTTGTAATTGCCCGTGTGTCTGTCTCTCAGGGCGCCGTCTGATGCGTCAGGGCTCGGGGGTCTAGGTAGTAGCCCTTCGTCCCAGCCTCACCGTTCCCCTTGCATCCTGCTTCCTCTCCCTCCCTCCCTCCCTTTCCTCCTTCCATGATCTCCTTCCGCACGCCAGACATGGAGGGATATCTTCCATTTGATCGACATCGTATGCTGCTGCGCCATTCTCTTCCCCATCGTCTGGTCCATCCGCCACCTCCGACAAGCGGCGGCCGCGGACGGCAAGATGGAGCATATCCTGCGGAAGCTGACCTTGTTCCGGCAATTCTACCTGATGGTGGTCGCCTACATCTATTTCACCCGCATCGTGGTGTTCCTGGTCAAAGCCACGCTTCCCTACGATCTCCTCTGGCTCCAAGCGTTCTTCGATGAGGGGGCCACATTTTTGTTCTACACAGTGACAGGATGGAAATTTTGCCCGGCGGACGCAAACCCATATTTGGCGGTCGACACGGACGAACGAGACGCGGCAGAATTGGAAGAGTTTGGACTGGACGATTATGAGGACGATTTGGGCGAGGAGGAGGAGGACATGAGGGAGGAAGGGAGGGATGTGGGCGGCATTGAGATGAGGGAAGGTCCGGGGCACGGGAGGCATCGTGGTCAACCCAAGCCAGGGGGGTGGAATTCTATCGTGAGCGTATAGAAGAGAGTTAATGGAAAGAGCCAAAAAAGGAGGACAAGAAAGTCAAGCACAGCACTGTATGTAAGATATAGCATGTCCTGCCACAAAACGGAGGAAATGGAGGAAGACAGACGCAAGAAACTGTAATTGAATAAGGGCAAGAAACTAAATGGTACGGCGGATGACGAGCAGGAAATCAATAGCCTTTTGTTTGGTCTCACCTTCTTTCAGTGTGTCGTTTGAAAGGCCTCCGCCCTGAACCGGGTAGTTCTTGCGTCGTTCGTCTTCCCCTCCTCTATGCCTCGCTCTTTTCGCCTCCTGTTGTATTGTACCACCTATCCCCGAAATCTCCCAACCCCGGTACGATGTACTTGTCTTCATTGAGTCCCGTATCTATAGCGCCTGTCACAATTTTCACTTCTGGGTGCCGCGTGTGAACTGCCCGGATGCCTTCGGGAGCGGCGACTACGCATACGAAGATAATGTTGTCGGGTGGAACCTGCCCTTCCTGGATTAATATGCTCAATGCACATAAAGCACTCCCTCCTGTCGCGAGCATTGGATCACAGAGTATACAAAAGCGAGAATTCACATCGGAAGGGATTTTGGAATAGAAGAGCTTGGGTAATTTTTCTTCGGAGCTTTCATCCCTTTGAATCAAAATTTTAGCTACGGCTGCTTGAGGCACGACACTGCGAACCGCCTCCATGAGAGCGTCTCCCGCGCGGAGTATAGAAACAACGCATAATGAGTTTTCATCGTCCAGAGCGCGCATGCCCGCGTACGTAGTATTTGTGGGTGTTTGAATGGAGCATGGAGATGACGGAACCATCCCGACGGCTTCTTCCGCGAGGATTCTGAGGATGCGGGACGCATATAACGCAAAATCTTTGTTTGAAGTTTTGCAGTCTCGAATTTTGGTGTAAAGATACGGAAAGGAGTGACAGTGCGGCACGATAACGTTGTCGTCGGGATTTCGGGAAGTTGGTTCGAGCATTGTCTCCATCGGAACAGGCCTTACCGGCAACTTCGGGAAGGCGATACCAGATTGATAGGAAATGATCTTATCCGTATCCTGTGTGAGCAGGAGTGGGATTGACGTGAGATCCGGCACTCGAACGGACGCTCTCACGCTGACTTTGCGACTGCCTCGAGAGCTTCAACTGGATCTTTCGGCGATTGTGATGGAATATGCCCTTTCGATTTTACACTTTCTGGGGCGGTAAATGCTCGTCTCTAGCACGTGCCTTTTGGGAAACTTGGTCTTGTAGGGATCATATGCGTCATAAATAATGGAAGGACGACAAAATAGGGTGCACTTTGCCTGAATTTAAGCGTGCACGACCTGTTGCTTGTTGAGTTAGCCTGTTCGTAATCCTATTGAAGGTATTTACTTTGGGAAAAACGATGGAGCGTGATGCCCGCGTCATTTTTTTGATGAATAGATTTCTAAGATAGCATTTTTGGAGCTATCGGGCGTAGCAAGACTGAATGGATTCGGCAAATGTCGCGAACTGAAAACTAATGGTAAAATCGTGTGGAGCTTTAACCCTGATCCTGTAATTTCGATTTCTTCCTCATCTGTGACTTGTCACGTATGGTGTCAACTTTAGGCTCATCCTTTCTTTGGCTTTCAATATTCAGAAGGAGTCAGTTATGTCTCCCCGCGCGGAAGGCAAGGCAGAATTTCTTCTTATCCGGAAGACCCTCATCCCCCCAGCCACTCCTGCCCCCCCTGGACCTGCCCCACGCGTCCCGCTGGCGGGTTGCGATGCGATCTACGACCATTTTCAAGTCAAGGCGGCCTTCTTTTTCAATGAGCCTTTGAACCCCACATTGTTGAAAGTCAGCTTGGCCAAGGCATTGGATGCCTACCCCCTTCTCGCTGGCCGTGCCCGCCAGGGGAGCAACAGGGACGCGTGGATCGATTGTTGCGGCTCAGGGGTGCAAGTCATAGAGCAAATTGCACGGGTGACAGGCAAGGGAGGGTTACACCATGGAGACACCCTAGCATTCATGCCCCGGCTTGCACGGGGAGGGTTCAAGACTGCTGTGAACAATGCCGCCTCTCCCATCCTCACCGTCACTCTTACCGAGGTCACGTACGGAGAATCCTTCTCGTGCGGTCCACGACTCTTGTCGGCATGCTCGTGTCGATGCAATGGGGAGGACGAATGGGAGCAGGAAGCGGCGGGGACGGAGGGGGCCGGGGGTGGGGACGTGGAACGCCGTCCACCATCCCCTTCGGGAACCCCAGGCGGGACCGACGGTGAGAACTCACTCCGCCCCACCTTTCACGCCTCCAGCACTACACCTGTCCCTGCGTCTACCCCTGCGGCTCCCAACCCCGGGCCCGTTATCCAGTACGCTTTGGGCTTGTCCTGCTCCCACTCGGTCGGGGACGGGAGCACCATCGCCCATTTCCTCGGCGCCTGGTCGCGAGCCAGTACCCATCTCCCCATCCAGCCCGCGTTGAATAACCGGGACCTTCTCTTAGATCCCGGCCCCTGGGGGGAAGCACGTCTGCCGCCGCCGGCAAAATTCCGCGAAGTCTCGACATGGACCAAAGCCCGTATCTTGTGGCGTTTTGCCTGGCAGCAGGGCGGATGCGAGACGGTCATCCTGCGATTCGACAAGTCGGAGGTGGAGGAAATCAAGAGGCAGGCGATGAAACGCTTGCATGGGACGGAGCAATGGGTGTCTACCTCGAACGCGTTGGCGGCACATCTGTGGCCCATCGTCTCGGCGCTCTGGTCGCGGCAGGGGGAAAGCGAGGGAGGGCGGGAGTCGGATGGGCTGGTCCCGATGAGCATCGTGGTGAATTCCCGGAAGCACTTAAAGGTACCCGGACATTATTGTGGAAACGTGGTGTCAATCCAGGACGTGCCTGCCTGCGAGGCCTCCGAGGACTTGACCTCCCGGGCGTTGAAGATCCGTTACGCCTCGGCGTGCTCGGAAGAAGAAGCATGGCAAGACCACCACTACATGCAATGGATGCACAGCCGGGGTCGGGCAGGGAAAATCCTGTACACGCGGATGAAAGACATGATCGAGGGGAAGCCGGGTATCCTTTGGGACGACATTTCTTCTTTTCAATCGGGTGCCATGGTCCACTTGAAGTTTGGCAAGGCAGTGCCTATGGGCGCGGATTTGCTGGTTCTTCCCATTCCAGGAACCATGTTTGTGGTCGCCCCCCCCGCCACGAGGGGACAAGGGGAAGGTGGAAAGGAAGTGCGCGTGGCGTTAACAGCCAAAATGGCGCGAAAATTGAGAAGCAGCGAGTGGCAAGGGAAGGTGCATCGGTATCGACCATGGCCGATGGCACATGCGTCGTCGGCGATGGAAGCCAAAGGGGGAGGCGGGGAGGGAGAAGAGGCACAATTGGAAGAAGGAGGGGAGGAGACAAAATTTGAGGAGAAGGAGGAGGTACTGGACGGGGAGAAGAAAGAAGAGGAAGGTAGGGAAGGGGTAACGGCAGGTCAGGAAGAGAGGGTAGCCAACGAGGTGTCTTAACGGGGACGAACCGAAGTGCTTTCAAAAGGAGAGGACTCATGCTCAACAAAAAGAGTACATGTGCGCCGCGATGTGATCTGGTTTTGTTCGGTTTTCTATCATTTGCAAAAGCCCGCCACTCGCCGGCGGCTTCATCTCGTTCGATTACAGGGTCGTATTCAGCTTTGTCGCCCGCTCCTAGCTCGTGGTATGCAGAGTGTGAGCGATCTGTACAAGGTATCGACAAGCCGCCTTCACTGACGGTTTTCCCGCGCACCCTCGCTAAATCAAACAATGCCCGATCATACCCAGACTTGTCTAGGAACCATATCTCTCTCCTTGAGCCTTCACTACTAATCCCCATCCCTCCTGTGCGCAGGTCTCATGCCTCCCACTGCTCCTCTACCTCCTCCACTTCCTCCTCCTCCTCCTCCACTTCCTCCTCCTCCTCCACTTCCTCATCCTCCTCCACTTCCTCCTCCTCCTCCACTTCCTCCTCCTCCTCCACTTCCTCCTCCTCCTCCACTCCTCCTCCTCCTCCTCCTCCTCCTCCTCCTCCTCCTCCTCCTCCTCCTCCTCTTCCTCTTCCTCCTCTCCTTCCTCCTCCTCCTCATCCTCGTCTTCCCCTCCTTCCCCCATCCTGTCGAATGCCTCGGGTCCTCCCAGTCTCTCCGTCCTCCCCGTCATCTCCGCTATCATTCTCCCAAACTTGCTCGAAGCTTTGTTCCACATCTCTCCTTTCCAATAGAGTTTCTCACACTCCTCGTTCACACAGGTCCAGAAGGTGTCCACATTCCTCTTCACCCGCTCGGGGATATCCTGCCGCGCCTCAATTTCCTCCTTGCTCAATGCCACGTACCCCTTCGCATTGCAGCCCGAGCACCGGCTCATCAGCTCCTCCACGTCCAACTGAATTTTAAAAGTTTCAACCACCTGCTCCAACTGCTGCCGGGTATCGTTTCCCTGCACCAGATAGGTGTACACACCTAGCAAGGCATTGTGTCGGCTTTCGACCAAGCGCCGATCCCTCGTCAGGACTACGCGCTTGGACCGATGTGCCCTCAACAGGATTGGGGGGGGCGTACCGGGAGGGGCGGGACGAATGCTGGTGCTCGTGTGGGTCAGACTGCTAGCAGCCTTGTGGGACAGGATGGAGGTGAGGTGAAAATCGTGAAATTCCACGTCCACACCAAGCACCCGCAGCCATTTCGACAGGCGGCCCAACATGGAGTCGACAAGGAAAGTGAGCTCCTCCCTTGTCTCCTTGTCCCCTGGTGCGAGGCGTGGGCCTTTTTCTTTCCCTTCTGTCGATCCGGTCAAGGCACTGCAGACGGCCGACGGGAGGCCGGACAAGGGGTTTAAAGGT